CAGGAAATTTTTTCATTTCCTGAACAGTGTGACTGGACACGTGTGCTTCCGCTGTACTGTCTTCCTCTATTTCTTTGTGGGCAAATGTTGAGAAATCGATTCTGAAAACTGAGACAGCATACTAAATTTCACGTAGTAATTTGAGACGGCTCAGTTTACATAATTCAAAAAGAGACCAAGGCCTGCTGACAAAGAACAAATAGAATCTAGAGAAAGACTGTATTGCAGAGACTTGCGAATTTCTATAGGGCATGAATCCTTTAATTCCCACACATTGCATAATTTAAAGTGGTAGTTCTTCAGGTGTGGCCAGGGGCCTGGGGAGGGGGGTTCTGCGAGGTCAAAGCTATTTCCTTAATAGCAGTTTTGACACTGAGGTGCCATTTGTCCCCCTCTCTTACTCTCTCATGGGTGCACGGTGCATTTCCAGAGGCTGTGTGACATGTATTGACAGTTACATGGGATGTGTGCTTGGGATTCCTTTTCTCTCTCTCTCTCTTTTAAAATTATGGTAAAATACACATAACATAAATTTTGAGCACTTTGGACTGGGCTGGGTAGTCAGGTGGTTGGAGCGTCATCCCAGTGCACCAGGGCTGTGTGTTCGGTCCCATCAAGGCACAGACAGGAGCCAACCAGCAAACAGGTTGATAAGTGGGAAACCGATCGATGTTCCTCTCTCTCTCCCCGTCCCTTCCTCTCTCTCTAAGATCCATCACTGAGTGCATAGAAAAAGAAACAAAGGTTACCACTTTCATCACTGTTAAGTGTCCACCTCAGTGGCGTCAGGCACATGGACGGTGTGGTGCAGCTGGCACCCAGCACTGGTTTCCAGACTGAAACTCCATCACCTCTGCCCCGCCCCCGGTGGCCTGTGTCTACAAATTTGACTGCTCTAGGGAGGAACGTCATGTAAGTGGAGTCACATAGCATTTGTCCTTCTCTGTCTAGCTCATTTTCACCCAGCAGAACGTCCTGAAGTTTCATCCATTTTGTAGCATGTGTCAGTTTCCTTTTTACGACCTAGTAATGTTGCATAGTACAGCGATGCCACATTTTGCTTATCCATTCATCTGTTGAACGCTTGGGTTGTTTCCACCCCTGGGCTGGTGTGAGTAATGCTGCCGTGGACATCAGCGCATGGGTGTGTGTGTGAGTCCCTGCTTTCAGTTCTCTCAAACATGTACCTAGGAGTGGGATTGCTGAAACATAGTGACTCTGTATTTAACCTGTTGAGCACGAGCTTGGGAATCTTGTGTTTAAAAACATTTCTCAGTTTCGACTTCTAACACAGTAAATGTCCATGTGTTTAACCCACATAAACTAAAGATCTTCTGGGTCCTCAGAAATTTTAAGTGTGTAAAGAGGTACTGGGAGCAGAAGACTTGAGGAGAGCTGATGTGATAAAGGTTCTTGTTTGGTGCTGTGGCCTTGCGCTTACATGGTGGGGGTATGGGTTATTTCAAACAGCGACAAGAGTCCGCTTTGCTCTCCCGTTTTACACCCAGGGGGCAGCCATTGCAACAGAAGGCCTGGGACAGGGGCCTTGGCAAAGCCAGTAGTGGGAAGAGGAGGTGACTGTTTTGAGCAACTTTGAGGCAGAAATTTTTCTGGATGCGTTACAAAGGGCCTCAAGAGGATACTAAGGAAGAAAGTAAAGGAATGTAGATTTACAGCTAGAGTGATGCCGATTAGAGCCATCAGAACCCCGGGCTGATGTGCTGAGCAGTTGACTATGCATCAGTCTCCCCCACACAGTGGGAGTCCCGGGTTTACCCTACTTTGTTTACTACTCGCCTGGAGAGTTGCCTGGCACAGAGTAGGAGCTCAGTGAATATTTTTTGAATACGTGATTCACATTGTTAACCAGTGACTCACATACTGGATTGATTTCAGAACAGCGCCTGCACTACAGGTGACTCAGGAAGGGAGAGAACCTTCCCCAGGATATCAGAGGATTGTTGTTACTGTTTTTAACATTTATACTTTTTAAGGTTCTATTTATTTACTTTTAGAGGGGAAGGGGGAGAGAGAGGGAGAGAAACATCAATGTGTGAGTGGTACATCCATCTGCTGCCTCTCGCACTCCCCCACCTGGGGACCTGGACAGCAATGTAGGGCATGTGCCCTGACTGGGAAGTGGACCAGCGACCTTTTGGTTCACAGGCCAGAGTTCAGTCCACTGAGTCACACCAGCCAGGGCCAGAGGCTTGTTGATACTTTGTCGTGGACGTTAAGAGTAGAGGGAGGCCTTTGCTGCATGTTGGTTATGGGGTTGAGGTTAATGTGTTATCTCTGCAGTTAAACTCTAGAACACGGGCTGGCAAACCACTGCCTGCAGCCGACCCTTATTTTTGTTCCATTTTGTTTTGCTTTTACCTGTTGCTGTATTAGCAGTGGTTGGTTTATCTTTATAGTTGAGTAATAGTCGTTTGTATAACTGTACTGCACTTTGTTTATCCCCACTTGTTTTGGACATTTGGATTGTTTCTGGCTTTTGGCTATCACAAATAAAATTGCTATGGACATGTACTTTCACTATGCTTGCATAAATAACTAGGAGTGGAGTGACTGGGTCATATGGTAGGTATATAGTCAACCTTTTAGAAATGGTTGATTGTTTTCCAAGTAGCTGTAACACTTTGCATTCCCATTAACAATGTAAGAGAGTTCCAGTTGCTTCACATACTTGTCCACTCTTGGTATTATCCTTTTCTTGTTTAACCATTAATAAGTATGTAATGGTATTTCATTATGGTTTTATTTTGTTTCCTTATGTGCTTATTTGCCATCTGTATACCCTCTTTGGTTGTTTATTAAAATCTTTTGCCCACTTTAAAAATTGGATGGGTTGTTTTCTTATTGAAATATGAGAGTTCTTAGTATATTCTGGATACGAGTACTTTATCAGATATTTGATTTACAAATGTTCTCTTCCAGTATGTGACTGGTCTTTTTTTTTTTTTAAGGTTTTATTTATTTATTTTTAGAGAGAGGGGAAGGGAGGGAGAAAAGAGGGAGAGGAACATCAGTGTGTGGTTGCCTCTTGCAAGACCCCACTTCAGGGACCTGGCCCACAACCCAGGCCTGTGCCCTGACTGGAGATCAAACTGGGGGCACTTTGGTTTGCAGGCCGGTGCTCAACCCACTGAGCCACCCCAGCCAGGGCTGATTTCATCAGGCCTTGCTTTTAATCTTTGTTAGGACTGAGCAGTATTTAGCCTGGAGTTCATGTTTCCCCACTAATGACACAAAACTCTTCTGAGTAGTTGACTCAATGTCCCACAAGTTAGGAGGTTTTTCCTGACTGGCTGCAGAATAGGGATTGTTTGTGGTCCTGCTGAATTTTGGTTACTCTTCCCTCTTACCCTTGGGTGGTAATTGCGCAGCCTGGGGTAGTTTCCTCCCACCACACGCTGATCAACACCATGCCTACTGCCCCAGGGTCCTTCTGTGCATCTCTGAAGTCTTGTCTGTGCTCTCTTTCCCTTCCTGTGATCCCACAGTGCTGCGCTGTGAGTGCTGCCTGCCTTAGTTTCCCCTAGCTTTTAGCTGCTTCCACTCGCCTCCTAAAGTCTTCCAGGTTGCCCTGGAGTCCCTCCCCCTACTCTGTCGCCTGGAAATGTTCTTCGGGCAGTAAGGCTCACTTGTGTGTTTCCTGACTCTCAGGGAATTTCACTGCTCTTCCTCGCCTGAGGACCAGTGCCTGGAGGACCGACGTTTTATGTATTTCATTGTTGCAGATGGGCAGTTAAGTTCATTCCTTTAACTCCACCCATTCTTCCTGTGTCATCACACTGGTGTGCAGGACTTTGCCCCTCGCACTTCAGTGTTTTCCGTGGGTTCCAAGGTTTGCCCATTTATCAGCTGCCACCTCAGTTCTGGAGTCTGCCAACTTTTTCTTGAAGGACCAGAGAGTAAATGTTTTCAGCATTGCAGGTCATACAGCCTCTGGTGTAGCCACTCACCTCTGCTGTTGTAGCTCAAAAGCAGACGTAGACTATATATGTTTGTGGCTGTGTTCCAAGAAAACTTTATTAAAAAAAAAAAAAAACAGTGGGCAGAGCAAGAGTTGGCTCTTGGGCTGTAATTTACTGACCCCTGCCTCAGTTCATGACCTTTCTTGGCTATTTAATATTTTTGTCTGGTCCCCTATTTTAATTGCTTCCAGAAACTATTGCCAGTGATGTCTGCCTAAAATATAGATCTTATTACATTACTTGTCGGCTCCCTACAGCATAACAAATAAAGGTCAGAATTATCCTGCCCCCAAAGCCTCCGCAGTCTGATCCTTCTTCCATTTCCAACCTCATCGCCAGTGACTGCGCATCCGTCAACCCATACAGTGTAACTGGCGTGTTCTGCTGCCCTGTGGTATTTCCTTAAGTCCGGCCGTCTCTGGGTTGCTCTTCCCTTCCTGCTGTGTCATATGTGCCTCTGAAACTGTCCACCTGCCTGGGGAACCCTGTTCGCACCCCACCGTCTTTAAGAAGCACCCTAGCCCCATAGGTGGAGGCAGTCTCCATCACATTGTTTGAGCGCCCCTGTGGTGGTGACCTGCTTTTGCGCTTTGTCAGAAACCCAAGTGTGTGTGTTTGTCTGTGTATATGTGTGGAGTGTATGTGTGTCTACTCTGTCGACCCAGAATCCCTCAAGAGAGAGAGGTGTGCCCTCTTGTTTCTGTCTCCCTGCAGTGCAGCACAGACTGACAACGGAGCAGAAACGTGGCAGTGTGTGTGTTTGAGTTTGAGCACGAAGGGCAAGGTCTTGGGGGAATGTGATGCTCTGGGGACCTGTGGCATTTGGGGCACAGCTCTTGGCTCATCCTTGGGGCATGCGTGCACACCCCCAAAGAGGCGGGCTGTCGGCAGGCTGCTTGGTATCCGGGTCATGCTCATGGGACCCAGGCAGCGGCAGGACCGAGCTGTGGCAGCTGGCCACTCCAGGTCTCCACTGCTACTGCCGCTTCCTCAATGGCCTCTTGCCCTTTGGTTTCACAGAGCTGTGGTGCAACCCTGGGCAGTTTGCCTGTCGCAGCGGCACCATCCAGTGCATCCCCCTCCCCTGGCAGTGTGACGGCTGGGTGACTTGTGAGGATGAGAGCGACGAAGCCGACTGTCCAGGTGAGTGTGTCGGGCAGGCAGAAGCACGTGGCCCCTTCGTCCCATTGGGAGATGGTGTCATCCAGCACCCCACGCTATATCCATGCACTGGAAGGTTATTTTGAGCACCTCATCCTCTCTCTTTCTCTGTATTTTTAAAAAAGGTGCCCAACACAGGTAGATCTCAGGACTTGTGAGATGGCAGGGTCAGGGCTGTGGTGAGGAACGAGGAGCACCCGTGATGCCATGTTTCGAGAGGTGACACTGGCCCTGAGAGCAGCACCCTGAAGTGTGGTGACCTCTTGCTTCCCTCTTGCCCAACTTTAGAGGTGGGTGCCTTTGAGACATGGCTGGAACCCCGATGAGGGTCGTGTAGACCTTGGCTCTCCCTCTGTCCTGCTCACTCAGTCACTAGTCACCTTTCACTGGGGGTTCTCTCCTGATGACGCACGTTTTGTAAAGACGGGGAATGCCATAGAAGTCTGAGTCGGTGTTCCGCCTGGTTTCTGGTCCAGTGCCCTCAAAGAGGCTAACACACCCATGAGTAATGGCGTGCACTGCATCCCTGGCTCTCGGCTTGGGTTGTAGTGTCTCGAGTGCACTCCGGCATGTGTGTGAGACAGGCGCACTTGTGCACATTCTAATGTGTTTAAGACCCAGGTGGTTCTGATAAAAGGCCCTAAGAGGAAGGTGCATCTTACTCCAGTGTGAGAATCTCAAACCTGTACTCTTCGGCCTTGCATTCAAATTTCTTCTCAATCTGGCCTTGTCTTTTTGCCAAAACAGTTTGTTGCTGTTTTCCCCTCAGTGACTCAGCTAGGCTGTTTCCTGTGCTCACCCCATGAAGAATTTCCTAGCCACATGCTTTGTTTATGCCTTCCTCCTTTCTCCTTCCTCGGAATCCCCTTTTCTGTCTCCGCATGGACAGACCCTGCTCACCCTTCGAGGCTTGACTGGGTGGTTCCACAACAAGCAGGCGTCTCTAGGCCTGCTGGCTGTAGGGTGGCCTCTGCCAGCACCTGCCCTGTCTCTCCGACAGCCCGTAGAGCTGCTGGTAATTCTTACCGTCACTTGTGCCCATGCTTGGTCTCCCTTTCCAGACTGAGCCTCCCTCAGGGCAGGAGACCAGTCCTCTTCCTCAGGGGGACCTGGCCTAGGACAGGCTTCTTTTCAGCGTTCAGCCAGTGAAAGGAGTGCTGTAGTTCCTGTAGGCCAGGTGCTGAAGAAAGCTGACGAACTCCAGCCAGGGGATCAGGAAGCATGTGCAGTGGAATTTCGCAGCTGAGCTTGGGATAATGCATTGTGGGGTGGGGGGGTCCCAAAATAAGAAATAGAGGTGATCTCTTTGGACTGTATTTGCCTGTGAAGAGGACCCCTATGAAAGGACCCCTTTTAATCATCATCCCTGTGCCTGTTCTTCCTTCGCCGGATGTGCATGTCTGTAGTGGAGGTGTCTGCCTTTCCAAATGAGAGTCAGGATGATGGTGGCTGGGTTAGGAGCTTCCGGGATAGCCCTGTGTCTAGGAATCTACCTGGCCATTCCTTGGGTCTCCGCTGAGAGCATGACCTTCTCAGTACTTGAGATGTGAGTACTAGATGTTGGGTAGCCTGGCGAGGAACCGGTGATGGTGCCTGGGAGCACCACCTGTTCTGACTTGTGGGATGAAACTTCATATCTAGCCTCCTGCAGAATTTTCTGAACAAAGAATCAGATGGTTCCTGGCTTGCTTTGAACTGGAAGCATGGCTTACCTGTTGTTTTCAGAGCGTCTTTGGCTTAGCTTTTAAGGTTATGTGTGATAACTGCCCTGCTATAGAAACTGAAGACAATGGTGAGCGCCCTCCTGGTTCAACCTGCTCATCTCTCCATGAAGGCAGGAGCCCATCCGATTTCTCCTGGGGTCATGTGGTTGGTACAGAGAGTTACAGGTCACTTAGTTTAAGTGTTGACTTGAAGTTAGGTAGGTTCCTGTGTCTTCTCCCCTAACAGAAAAATTAAGTCTGACCTACAGGAGCCCAGAGTTGTTTGTGAGTAGGTGGCGTGTTTTAGGCACCGACCATTGAGGGTGTGATGACAATGATGGTGTGTGCAAACTCACTGAGGCCGAGGAGGGTCTGCTGTACCAGAGGAGGGGTGAGGACACTCGGAGGAGGGGTGGGGAGGCTGAGGGCCTGCGGAATGCCCCACTACTCCGGCTTTCCCCTTGACTCAGGGGACTGTGCCTGGCTTGTGGTGTAGTGCCCCACCGAGATCCAGGTGGGGTGGCAGGATGATTTCCGATTGTTTCAGGGTTGGGATTTTGAGGAATTTATCAAAGTATACAAAGAATAATATTTGTTTCTCGCTTCCCTGAATTAATAACTGCTGAAATTTTGTCATAGTTGTCAAATTTTGTCTTTGTAGTTTATTTTAAAAGAAATTAATTTTTAAAGCATCATAGATATGCCCTGGCCAGTGTGGCTCAGTTGATTGGGCGCCATTCCGCAGGGAGAGGGGTCCCCAATTTGATTCCTGGTCAGGGCACATGCCCGGGTAGCAGCTTCCGTGCCAGGGCGGGGTGTGTGCAAGGGGTGGCCAATCGGTATTTCTCTCTCTCTCCGATGCTTCTCTCCCTCTCTTGCTCCCTCCTTTTCTCTCCCTCTAAAAATAACCAAATAAAATCTTTTTTTAAAAAAAACCCATAGATATAGGTTAAGTAGTCATTAACCTATATGGGGGGGGCGGGGGTTGGACAGGAAGTTAGTTAATAATCACTTTTGCTGTGGCCTTCCTGTCTGTAGGGCGAGTTTAAGTAAACCTGTAGGAAGCCCCAGCCATGGGTGGTCAGTTTGCTTTTGAACATGTACTTCAGGACTTCTGGAGTGAATATGAGATTATCTCATTGCCCTGCTAAAATTACAATAAAAAGAAACCACAGGGTTAAAGAGAATGGGAAAAGATGGAACAGTAGATCAGTAATTTCAGCGTGCTTTTGAAGATAGAAAATGGGTGGTATGCTAGATACAGTCTGGCATACCTGAATGTGCATTCAGCACATTCCCTGCCTTTCGGGCTGGAAGGCTGGAGGTGTAACACTCAGACCCCCTGCCAGTAGGCTACTGGATACCATTTAGCCCACGAGATCCTCCCCCATGAAATTTGGAAGGTAGAAGAGAGATAGAAGAATCCTTCCCCTGGCAGTGGAGTGGATGGCATGGGCTCAGACCACGGCGAGTGAGCGCAGTGGCTCCCACACCCCCTACTGCCCGGCCGTCTCAGGGCTGCAGGGCCGCTGCGGTCTGGCAGCGGCTCTCTGCGGTTCCCTCACCTGTGGACAGAAACAGCAGCTTCCTGATTGTCCCACTGCAGCTGCAGAGGTTAAACAGGCAGAGGTGGCCCACTTCACTTCTCTGCTTTCACTAAAAGCTAGTGCTAGTCCTTTGTGTTTGAAATAGCCAGCATGGTTTCTGTTCTGACTGAACCATCTCTGATATAAATGGGAACTAACAGAGGTTGTGTAAAATTTTTAATGGAGAAAAATTCACAGCTTTAGTAAGAGTCATTAAAGAAGACTTGAATAAATAGAGACAGGATGTTCTTGCTTAGGAAGACTCAGTGTGGTAGCTGTCTGTTCTTACATTGATCTGTGGGCTTAGTGCATCCCCATAGGGTTTGGGGAAATGTGACAAGTCAGTTCGAAAATGTTTGGAAGAATTGTCCTCACGTTGTTAGCGCACTTGGAAGAAGAGTGAGGAGCGAGCACTTGCCTTAACAGTTTCAAGGCTTACTTGCAGTTGGATCAGGGTAGCACAAATTGGCCAGTGGGAAGAAGAGCTGCCAGAAACAGACCCGATAAACTTGATGTGCGTGGCAGAGATGGAATTACATGTCACTGGGCGAAGGTCAGACTGCGCAGTGTGGAGTGCTGTGACAGTCGGGAAGGAGGAAATGAGGTCCCTAATGTACAACGTACTGGAAAGTCAGTTTCAGGTTAATTAGGAAAAACTTCTAGAAGATAATATAGAAGCATTCCTAAGATCTTCCCTTTATCAAAAAGTAGCAATAAAGAATGTGAATACACAAGCCACAGAGTGGGAAGATGTTTACAACATTTATAGCCTATCCAGGACTATAATTCAGCACATATAAATAACTCCTGCAAGTGGACAGCAGACAGGCATGTCACAGAAGAATTGGCAGGAGTGGTGATTAAACATGGAAAGATACTCAACCTCATTAGTATTCTAAGACCAAGTGAGATGCACCACTTCATGGATACTTAGATTGGCAAAAATTACGATGTCTGATGAAACCAAGTGTTAGGAGATGGTGTGGATGGCTTAGAAATCTCACCTGCTGCTGGTGAGGATAAATGGATACAAAAAAGGGCATGAACTTGCAAAGCGGCACAGTCACATATTCTCTGATCCTGGGTTTCCACTTGGGGACACAAGAGAAATTCTTGCAGCACCGCTCATACAGATGTACATCTTGGAAAACCCAGTGTCCTCATTCACATGCTGGCGTATTTGGAACCCAAACAGCAAGGTAATGTCAGGTTCTTGCAGCAACATGGATGCATCCTAAAAACAGAATGTAGGTGACAAAGGCGGTTTGCCAGAAAGTACATATAGCATAAACATAAGCAAAACTGACCATTATCTTATTTACAGATACATACGTGTATGGTAAACTGAAAGGAAAAAAGGTAAAACACTGATAACACAAAATTTGCACTCCTGGTCCCTCCCTGGTGGGGAGACAGAGGAGTAAGACTGGAAGAGGCAAGCTTGTAGTCAGTCCTCAGCTGACATCTGAGTTCTTAAGTCAGGTGGGGGTGGGCTTTCGCAACTGTTTTATTATTAGGCTTTATTTCTTCATGTATGTTCTTTGGAATATATCAGATATTATATAGCCTTTTTTTTTTTTTTTTTTTTTAAGAAAAACCCATAGATGGGAAAGTGAAACCGACTTAGCACAGCAAAGAAACTGCATCCATGGGCTTCCTTAAGAGAAAGAACACAAGGGAATGGCCTGCTTGA